TCAACGCCCACAATGCAAACTGTTGGGTCTCCGAGCGTCTGTATAAAATTTGGGCACCATGGTGCGTGGACCCAATTGCAATCATTTAATGTCACCCTAGTCCTACTATTTAAGTTTGTAATGTGTCTTCAGAAATATTATTCTAAACGATATTCATACATATTCATTATATTTAGAAAAACATATGATATAACGCTACACAGCGAGCGCGATAAACTTTGAATTTCTCACGCGTGGATGTCGTACAAGTTTGAAAGAAACATTGGTATGTTATCGCAAACAATAGCATCGGAACAAACACTCATTGCATCATAAATCATACCATGACGTTTTTGTTGTTGAAACCAATTGTTTACGTCACTACTGACGTGTAGAAAACAATTTCAAATTTGTGGGTGTAATTGAATCCATAGTTACGGTTAAGGGTAAATTCTTTTTAGGATTGAGGTAAAGAAATTTGCAGACAGCATCCAGGCTAGTTAATTCGACGAGTGTCATAACCCTTGAATAAGAAAAATGTTTCAGGGTGCTAGATAATTTCCAATGCAACTTATATCTCAGGGTGACGGGCGCATTGGCAGTGCCCTTAGATCTTACCCTCGATTTAGAGCTCTCAGTGACACTGCAAATTGCAATGGACAGGCGTATCGCTTACCACCAGGCGTACGATTTAAGCGTCCCGTTACTTGATATCGTAAAAAAAAAAATAGATATTTATTTATCCACAAAAAACCAAAATTGCATTGTAAGCAACAATGTTGACAAAAAGGATTAAACAATAATGTTGACAAAAAGGATGAAGACTCTTTGCGATTCAAATTTGTTGGTAGGTCAATGGATTCAAAGCTCTGAGTGACACTTCTGCTATGGACAGGCGTATCGTTTACGAGTAAGCGCACGACTTGTTCGTCCCGTCGCATAGTATCATAAAAAAATAGAAAATGAAACCATTTTATTTACGCTACTAATTAGTTGATATACCATTTTGTTTTGTTTTTATTCAGCAAAAACTTTGTACAAAATTTCTAACAAATTTTATTATACAAAGCGTTAAGAGCGACACTGCAATCAATAGACACTTCTACTAGTAGTTTACAGTAGAGATGCGCTGAGTACAAGTTTTACCGAGTAACCGAGTACGGCATATTACTCGGTTTAACATTTGCCGAGCCGAGTACTCAGTTCATTACAACCGGAACGCAATGATCCTAAAAGTCCCATTGCTCTAGAATCAGACCGATACGTCAATGAAAGTTTATTGTCGCGAGAATAGAGTCCATTTCAGGGTTATTCGGCCGAGTACGAGTAGTAAAAACAAGGCCGAGTACACCGAGTACCGAGTAGCAAACAAGTACTCGGTTCATCGCTACTTTACAATATTAAATTCCCTAGAGATTGCGTATAATATTTCTATGGCTAATTAAACTAAACCAACACGACCATAGTTTTGCTAAAATTAACGATTTTTAACCGACTTTAAAAAAAGAGGAGGTTCTCAATTCGACTGTACGTTTCGTTTTTTTGTATGTATGTTACGCGATAACTTTATTTATTTTATTTGTGAACCGAGTTTAATGATTATTTTTTTGTTGGAAAGAGAGAGAGAGAAATTTGGAGAAAATATTCCACCTTTAAGGCTGGCGAACTAGGGGATGAATGATTTTTGAGGTCGGTTTCTTAGCACTCTGTACTACGGATTGTTTCGTTATTTTTTAGTAGTTTGTTCTAAAATTTAAATGTAAATTGAAAACTTTTACTGCTGTCACCTCGAAAATGATGGATTATTGTGATTTATTACTATAATTCCCCAACCACAACATGGCACAACAGCAAAAGTTGACATAGTGTTTGGCAACGTTTTGCCGGAAGACGTTGGTTCGAACCCAGCAGGATCGAAAGACTTTTTCTGTTTTTTCTAAACTTTGTATTTACAATTACAACAAATTAGTGGAGTAATTTCACAAAAATAATTGAATACGAGTATAATAATTGAATGTCATCGTGACATTTAACAAACTTGGAAACAGCAAAGGTTTTCACTTATAAGTAAATTTTAGAACAAACTATCAAAAACAACGCAAATAAAAACGTTTAGGTGCTTTAGGTGCAACACGCAAAGAGATACCTTTGCGAGTTCAGCAGTTGTTCAGTGCGTCGAAGATCTTTTAGTCTATTTCTCTGTATAGACTGTAGAGTCTATAAGACAGTAGTGTCTTCACACACACATATATATATATACCGTTATCACTGCATAATGTTGTGGTTTACGCTCCAGCTGCCAGATCAAGTAGCCTTCGATCCAATAGGAACGTTTATATCATCCTTATCAAGTGTGTTTATGCTATTCAAGGTTGAGCGAGTTTTACAACGGGTTTTTCCACAGAATTAAACATTAAATAATGTTAACTTGGTCTTATAACTGCAGGCAATGAAATTTGCCTACAAGTTTGGGAGATGAGACGTGAGGATACACATTCTCATTATTTAATTCCACAGGTGTTAACGTGGCCAAGTATAATAAATTGTATTAAAATAATAATAATAAATTTAATTTTTAACGAACCAGCGGACAATCATAACATCAGGAAAATGCTAAATAGTATATTTAAATATAATTCACAATTTGGTAAAATAATGTATAGCTCTGGTGGCCCGCTGATAACGACTGACTAAGATTTAAATTATTCGTCGCTGTCAGCGAGCCACTGCACCAGCCAGTTGCCAATAGTAATAAAATAAATAATAATAAATTGTAATATTGTAAAGTTCATTGAATATCAGGATATTTTAGTACCATAATATTCAATTATTTCTTTTTTGTGAAATACAAGATCGCACAAAGAGAAAAATTTATTAAATCCGGCTGGATTCGTATCGGCGCCTTCACCATACCGTGGCTGACGCTATCTGAACTCAGCTACAGAACGAACCAGTAGACCTTAAGAATTTTTCTATCTACTTGTTAGAGATCCTTATTTTTGGTTTTTAACGATTTTTTGCCGTACCGACATCATGAATTATCGGAACGGATCGGATGCATTTTAAGTGAAATGGTGAATCAAACACTGGGTTGCTACATTACAAAAATAAAACCTATAGGGATGGCACTGGACAAAATATCGTACTTAATGGGTCCACGACACTCTAAATAAATACATCTGACTATTTCACTCAAGGGCAATAAATTTATTAACTGGTACCTGTTGTACACGCAAAATTTTGAACCGCAAGCAGTTTTGAAGACTCAATCGTCTGTTTTTATTTATTACGTTACTAGGCAAATAAATTGTAGTTTATTGAAATCATAACTTATTTATTTATTTTATTTAATCATTTATTGCACAGGAAAAACACAAACCACATTTAATAAAAGGAAAACATAGATAAAAGATACTGCTTATATTTCTGAAAGAAATTTCTTCCTTCGGACCTAAATACAGGACATAAAAATTACAGCAACGGGATTATGTGCACAACAAAACAAAAATTAAGTAATAACAAAAACAATATCAATGACATTAAATTATTAGAAATTACATAAATATTTAGATTTACAATAAATATATGAAATGGATAAATATGAAAGTATTAATTACAATTTATATCAACTTATCATAATCCAGAAGTTTACCACAAAGGAAGACTTCATATTATTATTCTAGAATACTATAAACAACAAAGACTTTAAATCATATACAAAGCCACTTATATACACGTTTTTGAGATCTAACTAGTTAATATTCTATTGATCATAACAAAATAAAGTAAATGCGATGTGCGCAGTTAAAACCAGTATGCATACTCGTACATAATATGTGATTTGCGTCAGCAGCTTAACGAATATATATTGTATTATTATTTAACTAAGTGTTGAATGATCACAAAGGACCATCTGGATTAAGACACATTTAATTAAACGATATTGTTTATAGACACGATAAAGCTGAACTGATCTTCATATTCGACGACAATGTGTGACTGATCATAATTTATTTACAAGATAAAGTGAAAATATAACGTTCACAAATCGTAGAAATATAATTTAAAGTCGGACAGAGAAACTAACTATTATTTATTCAATAACTTATGATTTACTTTTAAGAAGGGTTCAAAATCATCAAATTTATTTTATTACATATAATTATGTATGATAATTTGATAATTATCTTGATAATTATCCATGTTGATTGTTACATTAATTTGTTTAATTTAATTTTTGGTTAAAAATGAAAACATTAAATAAAAAAAACACATTTAAAATTATTAATAATTGCTTTAAAACATCAAAATTATTAATAATAATACCAAGATTTTTTTAACAAGTAAATATTATAAATCACAACATTGTAAGACTTTTGAGAATGGCATTTGATACAAATTGACACAATGAATCAATCTCTATGCGGTAAATCGTTTTCGAAAACGCTTGTCGCGACATTATTAACGATAGTTTTTTATTTTTCCAACAAATTTTATAATAATACAGAAATTATCAATGTATGATGATTATTATTATCGTAATAATTACGTTGATAATTAACAATAATAATTATCTTGAAAACCATCAATAATAATTTAAATTTCCTTCAGTAGCAGTAGAGCTACTTATGAAAGAGTTCGTCCAGGGAAGTACTGCCACCATACCTATTTCTGCCGCCAAGCCGTAATGTGAGGGTGAAGGTGCTGGTGATATTACGGACACATGGGATTTGTCAACTTATGTCTCAGGGTGACAGGTGCAATGGCAGTGCCGCTCAGATTTTTGCGATTTAAAGCTGAGTGGCACTGCAACTGTTATGGACCGGCTTACTACCGCCTGACACGACTTGTTCGTCCCATCACTTGAAATTTAAAAAAAAATAAAATTACCGTGATAATTAACAACAATCATTATCTTGGTAGTTATCAATAATAATTATCACTTTTGAACCCTGCTTTTAAGTTAAGTATATTTCATGTCACGTGTTTCATTATATCGAATGTTTGGTCTTGTCTTACAGATAGTAAAAATGGTGCAACGTGTGGCGACAGATGAACGTCCGTTTGAGACGCCATCATCGGACGAGAGCGGACTGGGGCGCAGTGACTCTCCTAGTGAGGAATCTCAGCCAGAGGCAGCATTAGTAAGTACTGTAAATCACTGGTACAACAATAATATAACGGCCGGAGATTCCAAATCGCCTGAGATCGCGTTCCTAGAAGACAGTAATATCAGAACGTTACATACCGTGAGACGGATCCTTACTGTTTCAATATGGTAACCAAATGTACTAGCCTTTTGAGAACTGATGTCTGAAATCTGAATCTGAAGTCTTTACAAACCGGCTGATCTGGGGTCAGGATCTGGCTGAGGTCCGTATGCAAACTTGCTTCCATAGGTTATAGTGCCCTTCCAGTATAACCAAGAAGTTGACAGGGAACCCTACCTCTATGAACAAAACAATATTTATAAAGAAAGATATGGCACTCTTAATTGTATGAATGTTTTAGCGGGTAATGCATAAATAAGTAAATGAAAATTTAGCAAAAAAACTACAGTAATCTTCTTTATGAAATTGAATTTGTTTATCGATATTAAAATCTCTTTTTGAGACAATTTAAAAGCAAAACTAAATCTGACGCGGTACTTCAACGTCATTTGATTTGGTTGGAACTTGATTATCATGGCTTGTGTGTAGTACAAAATTTTTATATATAATTAGCGGCTTAACGAGATGCCGCCGATATTAATAAACATTTGCTATGGTCTTTGTGCTGCTTGTTAATGCAGTCGTTATTGGCGTAGCCGGGTACCAAATCATAAAAACAGCACAGAAGGTGGTAGAAGGAATAAATTTATCTGAGGCTGTTGAGACATTGCAACAACAGAAAAGCAACTTTAGTTCAACATTTTCAAGTGTCAGATCATCATTCAAGTCGTCCACGAGAAGTATTGAAAGCGAAAGTACGCTGCAATGCATTACTTCATGTGCCTGCGACAGTAACACCACATCTGAAAGTGATGTATCTTCAGTTAACTGAATAAAATATAGAAGTACACAAATAAAGCGAAAGAAAAAATCGAATAACGTTAACTTTAAAAAGACATGACTGCTTTAGAAAAGAAATTGAAGAGATTAAGAATGTTGCGTAACATTGCAGAAAAGCTTATCAATGCTTGTCTCTTGGCAACCATATCGTTGGCATTTGCAGAAGTCACTATGACGGTATTACTATTTCTGTTATAAACAATTTTAAGGTGAAGAAGCAGAAAAAAAAGAAATGCTTTACGGGACATGCAGTCTTCAACTCTCCTTGGGTTGTGCGGATTTCTTTCTGAGTTTCTAGTATATGATTTTCGGACACTCACTGTCACCATTAATTTAAATTACTTCATCGTTACTGGGACTACTAACATCGTAATATTAACAAGTAGCAAGTAATGACTTTGGAATCCTTTTTAAACAGAACAAACAATACGGCTGCTTCGCAAAAGTAATTTGTTGGTCAGCATGAATATATGGACAAGATTGTATGATTGATTGATTCTCGAATTTCTCATCGGAAACTATTACGTACTATGAGTTTTAAAAGCTTGTGGCACAGTAAGGCAGAAATCCTTCTTAGAGTAGCTCAATGCATTTTTGAAGTGGCTGTTTGGATCGTCTTAGTATCTTGCGTAATCTTTGCCCAATGATGGAGCGGAATCAAAGTATACATTATTATATAAAAAAAAAAGTCCATGATGTGAATTTATAAACAAAACAGTGGCACATTGTAATTTGCCACTGAAAGTCAGCTAAGGCATATTAATAGGCATAATAATAATATAAATGTCAGGTTAGCCCCGGAAAATAAAGTTGGGAATAAAAGTTATTTCGATAATTAAATATTTTATTTCTCCTTTGTACATTATTTTTGGATTAGTTGGCGATTGAATAGGAGCAGATTATGGCCAACAGGGTGGCCAATTAATGTAATACAATTGCTGTTTGTAGTGTCGTTAAAAGGCAACAAGTCAGTGTCAAATTTGGTGGTCAAACTTCATTCATGGAAACGCAAGGTACACTTATCACTAAATGGGATTATATTACACTATTAATGGTATTAGTAGTCGTGACCTTGCTGTAGTTTGAAGCGCAATGGAAGCGCACCAGTATAAAATATAATATTAGGAGATTAAAAGTAAAATAAGCGAACGCCGCGTGTCTTGTCCAATTATTAGTGAAAAGATTGCAAGTTACTGTATGTTTGGTCAAATAATTTGGTCTAAATTATTCAGTCATTTTAAATACGTGTTTACGTACGTTGGTGTTTACCAATAATTAAAACGAAATTTATGTTTGAGGCTGTCATCGCAAAAGTGGTGTAACCCACAAAAACTTTTTTCTACAATATTACTTGAAATCATTAAACTATTTATTTTCACACACATAACAAAAAAATAATAATTTACAGAATAGAGAAAAAAATATTTATACAATTTACAGAAATAATTAATAGTAATAATTATAATTGTAAAAAAAAAAATCAAAATAAAAAGAGTTAAATCAAAATAAAAAGAATAATGTATGTGTGTGACGGACACGAGCTCAGGAAAATGTTGAAATCAGTTCGCAATGATTTGAACCCTGATTTTCAGCCCGACTCGACCATAGCAGCTCTACGTAGTCGATCACACACACAAATCGCAAACAAACATCAATTGAAGATAAAATGATTGATGAAAATACTCATAATAATGATAATAATATTTCATTAGAAATGAAAATAATAAAGTTATTTTACACAACAATTCTACATAACATATTCTACATATAGACCGCACAGGTTGCAGTTTTTTTACTTTTACTTGGGTTTCATGTACTCTTTTTTTGGTCTACCTGCTGGTATTCCTCTTAAAATGCATTTTCTGGTTTGGAAGAAATCTGTGTTCACGTAAGGGTGGAGGCAGGTTATTCCAGATCTTTGATGCTGAGTACTTGAATGAACCCTTACTTCCGATTGTTTTATGAGATGGAATTCTTAACAAATTGCCTTTACTTCGTAGATTTATGTTAGATTCAGCACCTCTCCATTCCAGTTTCTCGTGCAAACATGGTGGTCGCTTCATAAATATTATTTTGTGAACAAGGCAAGTGAGATGTATGTATCTGCGCGCCTCCGTTTTCAGTTTTTTCTCTTCATTTAGGTACGGCGTGATATGTGCTCGTTCAGGTATTTTATAAAAGAAACGGGCACATGCATGTTGTATCCGCTGAATGCTTTCTTTGCTTTCGCTAGAAGTCGCGGACCGTAAACCGAATCACAATAATTGAACTGTGACAAAACAAGCGACTCCACCAAAATTTTTCTGACCGGTAGAATCAGATCATCCTTATGTTGTATAGTAACTTAAGTCTATACAAGCAATTTTAAATTTTAACGTTCAAATGCTCAGCATAGCGCAGTTAAATGATACTACATGATTATTTTACATTTGAATGCTATTTTGACGTGTAAAAAATATTTGATATTGAATTTTTTTATGTTTGAAAATAATATCCAAATGGAAAATAATCATGCACTTTGCTCATTTTAAGAAATATTGTACGAAAAAAAAATGTGGGCTACACCGCTTTTGCGCCGATAGCATCATTTATAAATGGATATGTTTTCAGGAAGAAACACATCTTTACATTGAACTACACTGTAAATTATAGCTCTCTTTTACAATGTATAGTGTAATAACGGGTCAACGACATGTACTAACGTGTTTCTTTTTGTTTTTTTTTTTAATTCTAATGTAAGTGTGATCTCCATCTCATCTGATGGAAAGTGACGACCTCATCGACCTCATCGACGATGGAGCATGCACACCTAGATAATGCCTATTCACTCTCGCCTTGAAAAGGTCCAAGTTATAACGTTCAGGGAATAAGTTTGCAGGCAGGGAATTCCACCCCATAGCCGTTCGCCATATAAATGTGGAAGCGTAACGCTTCGTGCGAATCTTCGGAATATCCACAACATAGGGATGGAAGGTTTTTGGCGGGTTCATTGGTATAACACTGCTGAGACCTGAAACCCATAGCCTTTATACTAAAAGTCAGTTGCTTAAAAGTTAAAAGTAAATTCTCCTTGAACTTGACGATAACGGCTATGTCAAGGTTTTCATGTCATAAAATCTCGCAAACGTAAATAGTAGTTTAAACATACACAAAAGGCTGTTCATTTCAGAACCGGTTACCATCAAACATAAAGTTGAAGTAATATTAATGCATGCGCTTGTTACATAAGAAATTATTTCAAAAAGGTCATTTGGTAGTAATGTATTGCAATGGATAATTACAATGATGGTTTCGGAACTATGGGACACTGTGACGGATTACACCGGCGAGGGTGATGCGAAATCTTCTCGAGATCCGAAGTCAACTCGTATCGAAGAAGATTGTGTGAAGTATCGTTTCGGTCTTTCCTTTACTATCCGTATGGTTCACTATTCTTTAAATTCTAGGGTTTTAGGTTCATAGATCAAAGCAAAGACCTAAGTAATATCAGTCTCTACTGCTCTTTTTTCTTATAATATCAACGAAACAAACAAGTCGTGCGCCTGATGGTAAGCGACAGATGCAGTACCACTAATAAAAAGATTGTGTTAGTAATTATCATTAACTAGTGGAGTAATTTCACATAAAAATAATTAAATATCAATGCAATACAAATTTAAATATAATAAATAGCGACATCTCTAGCCGGGGCTGGTGGGTGTAAAAGTATCTAACTGGGTGACGATATATCATAGATTTCTCAAAGATGGCGCTACGGCTAAAAAGTCATTGAAAAACCAAATACAAAGAAGCACCTAGAAAAATTCGTGAGATCCACTGGTTCGTTCCGTGGCTTAGATGGTATAGCGTCTGGCATGGTATGCTAGAAGACGTGGATTCGTATCCGGCCGGATCGAAGGATTTTTTTATGAGTGTTCGATCTTTGTATTAATCATTATAACAAGTTCTATTTACCTGTGATCACCAGCACTTCAAAGCCAAAACGCAGTAATGTTCACATTACTATTAAGGTTTTGGGACTTGTCAACTTCTATCTCAGGGTGACGGGGGCAGAGGCAGCGCCCCTCAGATCTTTGCAGTTTAAAACTCGGCGTGGCACTGCAACTGCTATAGACAGGCGTGTCGTTTGCTACCAACGCACGACTTGTTCGTCCTGTCACTTGGTATCCCAAAAAAGGCATCTTGTGTACTTTCACAACGTAGATTTTCTTGTGTACTAAAAATCAATGACTTCATCTTCATATCATATCATCGTATGATCTATACGCACGGTGTAGTTTACGTAAGCTATTAAATATTTGTGATGTTAAAAATCATTCTTCTCAGGGGAATTTCACCTACGAATGAGTAGTGGTTTTTACTCGTTTTCAAGTGATCAATTTATTACCAACGAAATACAAGATAATTGGTTTGATTCTCGCAATCTAAAACTCTTGGAGTGGCAATGGACTAGCAAATCGATGAATCGATAACCGACGAAGAAGCGACTTCTTGAGTGGAGACCACGGCTCGAAAAACGTAGCGTAGCCCTCTGGTGAGATGGATAGGTTTACACGAGTAGCCGACAAGCTGAGGACCGGGCGAAAGGGCGCACATTAAGAGAGGCATATGTCCAGCAGTGGACTGCGTTAGGCTTGATGATGATGATGATGAAAGTTTTTGGAATCATAGTTCTGCAATTAATATTGTTCTATAAAATTTCGCAAAATTTCGAAAAAGATATATTAAGTTGAGTTTTTGTGGATTTATAATATAAAATATTTATCTTCAGGTGGTACCACCGGATGGCGGATGGGGCTGGGTTATCGTGGCTGCATCTTTCATGTGCAACGTGTTAGTCGACGGTATCATTTTCTCCGGAGGAATACTGCTTAAACATATTAAAACAGAATTCAATGTGAGTAAATTTTCTTATTTATATTTCCGCTGTGATTTTCTTCGCACTATTTTGGGATTTACTTTACAATACAACGAGCGCGGGCGCGTGCGACTGTCCCGCTCTAATATACAAACTGGATGACGGGTTTTTTTCTAAAGCCGTGGTAGCCTAATGGTTTGACCTACCGTCTTTCAGGTAGAGGACGTAGCTTCCAATTACGGCTTCTAAATTTGTCGAAATTTATGTGCGAAATTTAATTTGAAATTTACTATTAGCTTTTCGGTAAATGAGAACATCGTGATGAACTGCGCGTCAAAGAACATTCAGAGCCCTCGGAAAATGTGAGTAATCTCCCAGCCGTATTAGGCGTGGCGGACTATGACCTAAAACCACGCCTGAGAGGAGACCCGTGCCCAGCAGTGGGTCATATAAATAAGTTAATGTTGTTGATCGAAAATTACGAGATTTTGAGTCCGTCTAATTTCGAAATTTTATAAATTAATTGTGTTTTCTGTCATATTAGTTTTTAGATCGTGTAACTGGTATAATGCAATGGTAGTAAAAGTCTGAGATAATTTTTTCCTCTAATAATATAAACTAGAAACCTTGAATGGATGGAACCCTCGACTGAGCAGAGACCCGTGCTCAGCAATGGGACGTATTGATGATGATGATGGGCTTTCGTAATTTCCATTTAAGTATAATTCCCATTCCATTAATATTTAATTAAAGTTTTAGATGTGAAGCATTTCTTTTCCTTTTGTTGAAAAGGAAAAGAAATGCTTTACAAGCCCATGGCAGATTGCTGCCATGGCCTTGTAAAGCCATAATCAGATGGGTTTTCTTAATGGCGATGGAGGAAGTTGCTCTTGCGAACATCATGCCCTGTCATGGTTTGTACTGGTGTTCACATTCGTTGATCCAGGTCTAAGATGAGCCATCATTTCAACCGCGTTGGGTTTTGTGAATGCAATAAGTTTCTTGCCAATTCGTTCTTGTGGATAAGGAGTCGGGCTTTATATTTTTTACTGTAATTCTTTACTTCTTCTTTTATCAAAGAAGTTGGCATATTGAAATATTGATGGATCTCAATATTCCTTATAAACCATGGTGCACAAGATATATTTCTCAGTGCTGTGTCCTGAAATCTCTGCAATATCTCGGAGATTTGTGTTGCTGGCTGAGCCCCAGGGCTTTACGCCATAAGTCCAGATGGGTTTGATGATGCACTTGTACACCATCAACTTATTGTGAAGTGAAAGTGGAGTTTGTCGACCTATCGAGCTAAAATTGAATGCAACATGAGAGTATATGTCTAAATAAAAAAAAAAAAAAAAAAACTGTCCAAAATTTCGAAATAGCTTTTGCTGAATTTTTGGAAATATATACAATAGCTACAACACGTTACGTAGCTACTAGTGTGCATGCTAGTAATATTTTAATCTCCATGGTCGTAGACACGTGCTACTGAAATATAATTATAATACCATAAGTATAATTAGTTCTTTCAAACCGTTTTCCTTCCTGTAGTTACTGGGATAATTGTTAAAATAATACAAGTGTCCTTAACACGAATTCAATCAAACGAATGATTCACAAATATTTTAAATTAAAATAGTTTACTATACAATTCTTACTTTATCAACATTCCGATGATTGATTACTATTGACATTCATTCTTTACAAACTTCAACGAATAGATAACCTAACCGGTAGTGTAGTAATAATGACGAAATGGTTATAAAATTACTCATACTTACATTACACCCATACTTACCTATATCTATTAGTTTGCAAAATTAGTCAAGGATAAGTTAAGAAAAAAAAATGAACAGAAGAATTTAAAACGATAATTAAACCTTTTTGACATAAAAGCTACCCATTGTAAGTCGTCTTTACCTGAATACCATGTAATATAATTTACACGAGGAAATCACAAAATAGTGTATTCAAAAGATACCTACTGTAGACAAGTTTTCTATCAATAACAATTGTTTCATGTGTGGCAAAATGTTAAAATGTGTCGATAAACTAGTTTGAAGTTGAAAGATCCAGCGCAGACGTCTCGTGTGCAATCTATTTTTAGGCCGCGACCACACAGACCACACCCTCGCGACTCGTGAGACGTACTTGCGTCAGCGCCAAGCCTCCACTTTAATACACATCCAATTTATTCAGATCCATGTTTTTGTTTCAGTGTCATCTATTTCATAATTTACTGCACGGTATCAATGTTCTTTTCACCAATCATTTCATTTAAAAAGAACTTTACCGATGTACATATTTTTCAAATTAAAATATTATATTAAAAATTTTAAATATGATACTAAAACACAAGCCAAAAATTTAAAAAAAACTAATTTCCATACAAATTTGTCGTCGATACTAGACTAAATAGAGTCTAAAATAGAAAGCTTAAACAAAAAATAGTTTCATGACAAGGACACTTTCATATTTCAATTGCTATTCTCTCACGTGCAACAAAAAGTGTTATTGTAGATTTACAGAGCTCAAGTTATATTTGTCATAAGCGGTAATAAAACTATTTTGAATACACTATTTGGGCTCTGTGCAGAAACGACATGTGTTTTGACGCTGTGTTTCCGTTAGTATGTTGCGGTTTTGACGCATTTTAAATTGCCTATCAATTTATTTTAATTATTTTGCTGACCGTAACTGCGTACTATTTTAAGTAGACTTTTGCGTCAATAGAATTTGAAGGTGACCAATGAATGAACGTATTTATTAGGTGCTGACTATTGGTAATCATTTGGTTCTAAGAAATGGAGTGCCGGAAAATTAATTTGTAATTGTCACAAAGTGCCAGACAACTTCACCACTTGCCTGGTCGCAAAAGACGGAATTCCCAGTACTACGAGTACCAGAGCACCGGAATTCACTCTGGGGTACTTTCCAGAACACCCATGCCAGAACCAACCGTGGCCGAACGGTTACCATACTGGTGTACCACGCAGAGGTCTCTCGGGAGAAATATTTGTATGGCCTATATTTATTTATCTCGTAAGTTTTGGTGTAATTTCCGAGAATCGAACCCGACACCTCCGCATCTAGCGACCACAGTGTACACCGTTCAAGATCACCGAGATCGATCAACGTCATAAATATGTAATCTCTGTTCCCTTGATTTATATCCCGTACTAGTTTTCTATAAAAACCTAATAAGTATATTGATTTCCTTTTCGTAAACTGGCATGTCTATGGTGAATGGTAAGTGGTAATCATTTACACATTGTAGAGATACTTAAGAAGTGTGTCTTCAGAAAAACAAATAACTAATTATCAAGTGAGTGCAAAATTTTTATACTATTCTGTCAACGACCTTTCATTGTGCTACTTCCTGAATTTTTTAACGCTCAAAAATAGTTAGCTTGTTGAAAACGCATTATTTCAATCACTACACTGTTATATTTTTTATTTAGTAGTGAATTTTACTAGCAGCTAGAGCTTCTTGTGAGAGAGTTCGTCCTGGGCAGTACCTTACCTAATTCTGCCGCCAAACAGTAGTTAGCCAACGGAAAGTGTGCTGGTGAAATTACTAGCATTTGGGACTTGTCAACTTACGTCTCAGAGTGGATAGTGAAGAGGCTGTGCTCCTTCGATCTTTGTGATATAAAGCACTGAGTGGCACTGCAACTGTTGGCGTGTCATTTACCACCAGGCGCATGGAATGAAATAGTATTATAAAAAAAAGGAAAAAATTACTTGTTCCTCACGTCACTTGGTACTATAAAAAAAATATATCATATTGTATTTTATAAAGTGCATCCGGCGCAGCTCGACACCGCGCTTAGCGTCTCGCTGCATTTTATTTTATTTACGTTTTTTGTTTTAAGAAATATAGAAATTAAAGATTTTTTACATTGCACGTTTTATTGCATCGCTGCATCGCGCGGTCCGGCTGCGGCGATCCCTAAACCGGGTTACTACATTAAGGCTACGTCCAAAATTTTGTCTCACCACAAAAATTAAGAAGAGTATATTAAAATCTGCATGTAATCGACGAAATAGTCATAAACTTGAATGACTGACTTGATAGCTACTTTTGACTTCTAAAAATATATCGAAAACCGCAGGTAAGTTGTACATTCATATTTGTGCATATTTGTACTAAATTGACAAAAGTCCCTGGATGTTAAGTTCAAGTAATGTAGGCTTCTAGTTCTATTGCTAACTAGAAGCCTACATTACAATTTTTCATCTGCAACAACTGTCTATATTGATTATGGACGAACAAGTCGTGCGCCTGATGGTAAGCTACATGTCTGTCCATAACAGTTGCAGTGCCACTCAGAGCTTTAAATCGCAAAGATCTGAATGGCACTGCCACAGCGCCATAAACTGAGGCATAAGTTGACAAGTCCCATGTGCCTGTAATTTCACCAGCACCCTTACCCTTCAAAACCGGAACACAGTAATGCTGACATTGCTGCTGAAATAGGTAAGGTGACAGTACTACCCTGGATGAAGTCTTTCACAAGGTGCTCTACTGCGTCTAAAATATGTAGAAGCCTAGAAGAAGTTTTGGGGTTTACTAAGAAAACATTATTTTTATTTAAACACTTTAACAATCATTATAAACAAATACTCTGTACATAAAAACTTATATAATGAATGAGCTGTAAATTAGAAAGGCGGATTTACGTAAAGCCTCGTAGACAAACGCAAAGTCTATTATTACCATAATGTTAAGGCCAAGGCCTTAATCTGCAATAAATAGACGATTATTCTGACAATTTGCTATATTGACTCGCCGATCAAATAGATTTATGCAGCATTTTTGTATTTACATTGGTCGGAGCAAGATAACCTTTCATTCATCACGCGACGGTTCATTGTTTTAATCAATTGATAACAGCTAAATAGGACGATTTTATTGACGTTGTGTTCTCTATTTTTTTGGCTGGCTGGTTTATGCTGCTTGTGATTAGTTGGGATTGATTTATTCCAAACAAAAAAATAAATTGTCTCGTGTACGAAAAGTTATAAAGATTTTTTTT